TTCCTGTAAAAATTATTTTGTTGACTAAATTCTTGAGCTGTGGGCAATGACAGACCTGTATTGCATCCCAGTGCGTGTGCTCTCATTAAAACCATTTTACCCTGCCTCTTGTGATCCCAGCAAGGATCCTAGTTAATTTCACAAGTCATATGATCCGTTGTCAAATTGCAGAGCACCAACATTTTCCAGAGTGGCCACATTTTGATGCCTCCATTTTTCTGGTGATCAGCTTGAATCACCTTGACCTTTTAGAAGTGCTGAGTCCTCAGGACTCCACTTGAAGTCTATGAGAACTGCAGGTGCTCAGCACCTCAGAAGACCAGGCCCACAATGTCTTATACTTAGCATCCAAAAATTGAGAGAGACAAAACTAGTGGCCATTTCTGAAAATACTGGATATAGTGACTCCATACAGAGATGCCTCTGTCCATTCTCAACTGGAGGGGAAGGTCTCTGCAACACCGGTCTTTTGAGAGTCCGGAGAAGTAACCTAGTGAAGGCAGTGGTGGTGGGGAAATCCTGGGAGACCCTTCTCTGGGAGTGTGATAAATGAAGTTGGGGGTAGCTCCCTTCAGTGGACACCCAGCCAGCCAGTTCACTGTAAAAAAACTCCTTGGACCCAGGAAGGAACACTTGGGAATTCCTCCTTGTGGGGTACCCTCAAGCTCTTTCACCTCCCCCCCCCTCCAGGGAAGAGCTGAAAAAGAAAACAAAGGAAATTAACTGTGCTACCAGCTAATCAAAACAACATTCCCAAACCTCTTAGGACATCAAAAATCCAATCCTGTTCTTAAAAAAGGTAAATTTTATTAAAAACAAAAAGGAAAAAAATACATCTGGAACTTATGCTATTGCTAGATTTTAAAAGAGCAATTCCAAAAATTAAGCAACCACACTAGCTTTCTTGGGGCTTCAGCTTAAAGGTTACAAGCAAACAAAAGCATTAGGGGTTAGCACAGAGGAGATCACAAGCCAAAATCAGAAATAAACCTGACTGTGTCTAAACATTCCCTATCCAAATAATTTCTTCCAGGTATGGAAGATACTTTTTCATACCTGGTTCAAACCTTACACAGCATTCCTGCTTATAGCATTGCTGCTCTGTGTCAGAATCCTTGCGGGCCCCCACCTTCTGTACTCAAAGTGACAGAGTGGGGATTCAGCCTTGACAGGGAGAATCCACTTTTAAAAATGGAGACTTGAGTCCCCATTGTCCTTTCTGATTTCCCTGATATATGTGCTGCAGAGTCTGAAATCTTAACATGAAATCGCTTAAGGTAGTTTCTAGTGGCCAAATTCTGTTCTCCCTGACACAGCTGTAATTCTCATTTCCTTCAACAGGAGTTCTACCTGTGTGTGTCTGAGAGCAGAATTTGGCCCTATGGGTTGTTTTGTACACAGATACATTTGATAACTTACAATCAGTCAAAGAAAGGAGAGAATCCAAACATCCTGTGGGGAAGCTGGCACAAACCATGTAAAGAAAAAGCTTTCTGAGTTTCAGGCAGTTAAACCACTTCAGCTGCTGTTTCCATGGTGTACCAGTTGCTAGCTAAATATGCCTTCCTCAGGAAAGGAATCCTTCAGCTTGCATGCATGTGTTATCTCTTTGATAATGGCCCATCAGTAGGAGGGCAGCTAATTGTGAGGCCAAGTGCAATTTAAAAACCTTTTCCTGAGGTGGTATTTGTGATCAGTCACATTCTGTAGCCTTTCAGAAAACGAGAAAGGAGAAGTGATTTTTCTAACTTGGAACAGCATAGCTGCCCACTTTTTTACAATTAGATATTGTGACACATTATTTAAAGTGGTAACTTCAAGGTCAACACTCATGCACTTAGGTATCATTAAAAATGGCATAGTCTATGCTACATTTTCCTTCTGATTCCTGAAAAACTATAGTATTTCACTTCCTCCACTCCATCACCCCCCATTGTTCTAAAGCTATAGCAGTAGGTAATGCACTGAGTACATGACTAGGAGGTAGAGCTCCTAAATTCTAATCTTAGCTCTGCCACTGATACAGTGTGTGGCATTTGGCAAGTCAATTAAAGCTCCCTGCCTCAGTTTCTTTGTAAAACAGCTGCTCAATGGTTTGTAGATGCTCAATCATGGTATATGTGGAGACTATTATTGCAGTTACAATCCTGAGCAGCCCTACAATAATACCTCATAGGGCCAAATTCACCTTAACATGTGCAAAGAAATTGCAAATGCACCTCCCTTCACCTGCAAGGCTTGCTGCACTTCAGGCAGGATTCACTTAAGGGGAAGGACAAGGTGGTATTTCCACCACACCCCTTTGTTGGGAGTTATGCCAGGGGACATAAGCTTTAGTGTTTATTGGAGCCCTGCCAGTGAAGACTGAATCAGTACTAGTTGACAGGGTAATAGAGCTCTTTCTGTCAGAAAGACTTTCCTATCTCTTCCATTGTTCTACATAGTGTAGTTGTAGCCATGTTGGTCCCAGCATGTTAGAGAGACAAGGTGAGTGAGGTAATAAAATTGAGCACATCACCGGCCACCAACAGTACCAGGAGTTGTGAGCCAGAGTGACATCGCTCTCCCACTACGAGAAAGGGACCAAGTGACCTTCTCCGTTGGATCATATGAACTAGAACCATCAACTCCCTGAACATTAAATCTTACCAAATGAGGGTCAATCCATCCTCCTCATCATATCCACTCATTATACTCCACACCCGAACATAGCCACCCTATGAACTTCATACCCGCATATCTCAATGCCTGTACTTTGACCCATCAACCTTTTACCCCCAATCGGGGATATTGCAGATTATGTATTCCTTATGCCACCTGATCTTAAACCAAACTTTGCACCCTCGATAATCTGTACGTTATTCCCTGATAACCAGAAACTTCTATGCTCAAACTCTGTTCACTTTTTTTTTTAACATCATCTTAATAAAATCTGTTCTTTTATTGGACCAACTTCTGCTGGTGATGAGACAAGCTTTCAAGCCACTCTACCTTGAATGGTCTCTTACAATATGTGCTAAGTACTTAAGCTAAACCACCTGTTTCACTTTGCATTTTGCTGTAAGGCTGGAAATTCTTTCCCCAGACCTGTAGAAGAGCTCTGTGTGGCTCGAAAGCTTGTCTCTCTCACCAGCAGAAGTTGGTCCAATAAAAGATATTACCTCCCTCATCTCATGTCTCAGAAAGATTTTCCTGACATCCAGCCTAAGTTGTCCCTTTTAAAATTTCATCTCCTCTCATCATTATGTTTTCTAAAATCTAAAGTCATTATGCTGGCTGATATTTTTACTCTATCTTTCTGTTATATAATTAGAACACAAATAAACACACGATTGCCAAATTGGTGGTAACTCAGTTCCATGGGACAAATCACATGTTAAAAACCCAGTGATTAAAAAAATAAAAGTTCAACAGTGGATTCACTTTAAGAATTCGAAAAACCCTATACAACCCCCTATTAGAAAAGAATTGTATTTAATTTTATCTATAGTAGAAAAAAATATGTAATTTGCTCTATTAAATGGGAGATCCCTTGCCAACTGCCAGATTTTTTTGAATTATTTCAGTGCAAAAAATCAACAACAAAAGCACAGATACTGCATTACAATGTGTTTCATACATTTATGTTGACTATGGTTTAATTTTAATTATTTATGATATTTCATACTGTTCTAGCCAATATTCCATAGTATGTTGTAAAATAGCAAAGTCTTCATCTGAGACCTCAATGCACCATTTTGCTAGTGAATCTTGGCTGAGAATGGACATAGCCCATGAATTATAGAAATGCAGATCAGCAAGGTCATACTGCAGTTACTTTCCCTATCTAAGTGAAAATACAATACCGTATGATTTTCTGAATAGTGTAGTTTTGTCTTAATCATGGGAGGGATGTTTGTTTATTCACATTTGGGGAAGCACTTTATATACCTCCCCTCCTGCTACTCAAATTGTATTTATGTAACATGGTAGCAATTTAGAATAGTGACAAATTTCTTTATCTAAATGGATACCAATTTTCCTCAATTATGAGAGTGAAACACAAAAAGTAAAAATTCAAAATAAGTCTGTTAAAATAAAGCTGTTTAATTTTTCTGTTTATCCCCAGTGACTACTTAGCATTAAACTCAAACCAACCAGGGATTTTTTATTTGTGAGATAATGTTTTATTGGTGGGTTGTTGTTGTTTTTTACTTTTTTTTCATGCTTTCTTTATTTCTCTTGTGTGCAATGAATAAGTCATATTCCTACTCTCTATTAGTTTCTCCATTTTCTGCATTTCCAACCACAAACATACAAAGGTTATGAGTTAGGCCCCAAAATCGTAAGATTGGCTTAAAATTTTTTTAAAAATTTCTTTGGTCTTGTATTTGCATTTGGAGCTTGTAGAGCTCACGTTTTCAAGTGTCTTTCTGCAACCTGGAGAACCAGAAAGTTGTGGTGGTGGTGTTTTTTCTTAAAAGAGAGCTGAGTTTCTCATATAGTAACATTACTCCAGGAGCTGGGATTTAAGAAAAACACCAGATATCATGAGTGTTGGTAACCCTGCATTCTAGGATCTCAAATGTCCTGGTAATGCCATATAGAGTTGATGATAATAATGTGCAAAAAGAAGAACAGGAGTACTTGTGGCACCTTAGAGACTAACAAATTTATTAGAGTATAAGCTTTCGTGGACTACAGCCCACTTCTTCTATATGCATCCGAAGAAGT